CAAAAAGGCGAAACCAGGATAACTACGGAGTACAACTCCGAGTACCCCACACAACACGCCACACCAGCGACCTCAAAGCTGAAAGGAACACACAAACCAGTGTTATCTGCACCCACGTGCTCATGACAAGACAACTTCTCAAAGGAAAAGTGACCACATGGCCACACGACAAGTCTGAACTCACACAGAGAACCTAAGGTCAGACAAAAGAATGGAAAACAACAACCGTAAGCGTCCCTCCTGACAAACCATCATAAGGAACTCCAAGATAACCACATATCAAATCAGGGTACAGAACAAACACAACGTGGTAGTACGAATAGTGACCAAAACCCACCCACAACGTACACAAATGTGTGATAGCAATGACAGTACCTAGTGCCCGCCCATACTTACTCGTCAGTAAAGTAGCGTCGACGGCAACTAGTACTCGCCCACAACACACAACTTTGTACGGTAGCATGACAGTAGAAGGCACTAATTCATAACCTGCCCCCCACTAGGTCTACCCATGAAACCTCTCGATACCAATGACATCAATGTCAAAAATGATCATTGCCAAAAGTACTACGGAGACTAACATTTTGTAAGAGTTGAGATATAGTCCAAAGATATCCGGCTGAATCATCCTGGCCAATCCCAAAACTCTGACAACAATGCTATAGGTACCGTTATGCTTAAGGTCCCAAATCCTCAATACAGCAAAACTAACATCTCCAATGTTTCAAAATACCCTTATTAACAACATTAATCATGAATCCAAAACCTGACAAGCAAATCAATGCCTACAGAAAATCAGAACGAACCTCACAATAAGACATTTCATCGAAAGTCCTTCATATCTTCCTGAAACAGATCAACTATAAGACCAATCACCATGATTAAACATCAGATCCGCATCCCTATCACGAATAACTAATTCCTTAAAATACAAAACCACCAAGTGGCACACACATCAAAATGCCAACAACCAAGGTCATAAAATGAATCTCTCAAAACCGTACTTGAAAACACCAAGTTAAATCAAAATTCCTCAATTTCTATCGATCCATAAACAACCACTGGAACTACGATTCCTCAAGACCATGCCTAGTTATAACTAGGACGAGAAGACTCCACAGACAAACCATATCCAACAGCAATCTTCCAAAACTTTTCCTAAAAGTTAACCACATCCAAGTCTCTAAAACGGAAACAAGTCTCCAAAAGACATTCTCAAAAGAGCATCGAGCTCACCTCACAATAAAAAAAAAAATCCTCAATGATATGGACACAAGTCCCTATAAAATGATCTCACACCAATCAACTCACTCTGAGCACTACAACTCCGTCAACAACTACGGCAGAAACTCCCCAAGGGAAGACACAAAAGAAAGGGAGCTACCAGTCCTAAAAAGGACAACACCTCGACTCTGTCTCTGAAACGAAAGACAACAAGGTCAAAGACTTCACCCCTACATGGAAGTAAGCCGACCTAAATACATCAAATCCTCACCAAGGACTCAATACAACAACGATGATTCTTATGGACCAACCAACCCCAAAACGGAAAGAAGAGACTCACTCATTGTGAAGTCCCTAACACGAACCAACACAAAACCCTTGTGGAAACCCGCATACACACTACGTGCGACTGAGGGAAACGAATGGGAAAACCAAACCTGGAAGTCATGCATATGACAAGGAATGCAACTACTAGAAATAAAATCTACTCACATAGATAAAAATCAAAGGTACATGCAACACGTCTTCACGTAAGCACAAAATCATATCATTAAAACATAGTAACAACATGGCATCTCTAAGCATATAAAGAAGGCATGCTAATGCCATACAACAAGAAGGTAAATGTGGATAGACCTCCACCTACTCATGCACCACAATATCATAAATGAAACCACTAACATGGTAGAAAACAAAACTGCAGAAGATAAAATGATGCAACAATGAACCCTATGGACATCGTGTCCTAGAGTGTCGAAGAAAAGGAAGGACAATTCCTAGTCATAAACTGTCTCCAAAACCAATGCGACAACAACATGTCTCTAAACAAACGTGAACCCTTACCACAACGGTAAGACTCTAACAATCTAACTTTGAATCTAGAGGTGACACTAACAGTGCAGTGCTCTCACTACCCGTAACATCAATCAATTGACTTGATCCCAAAAGTGTCATCACGTATGAACTCCTCAAAGAAAATGGCAACTACAGCCATACCAATAACAACTAAATCAATCACCACGACTGATCCCCAAAACAACCATCATCATCACCGATCAAAGGACAACGCCTATCAAAACAAAACCAACACTGATTCCATTCGAACTGTGCTTGTAGCTAGCCAGCACGGTAGCATGACAGTGCCATGCACTCGTCCACAAACGTACCCACCCACGAAAAACGCAAGTTTCAGAGGAATCATCCTGAATAATCAAGGATCCTAAGAGGTCCATAACCTCATAATGGCCCAAAACCAACAAATCCACCACTACGGTAATGCTAAATGACTCACTTCATGAGAGTCTAAACAAAAAGGTGACCATCCACCTATGACGGCCCAAGTTTTGTAAACTCGGTGCGTCAATGATAACCAAAAGATGACCCGATAACGGATCCGAAATGCGGAAGCAAAAGGTGAAACAACGATCTCTAGAGATACAATGCGTCTCTAAGACACCAATGTGACCCTCAATGAGGTCATGGAACCCAAAGGAAAACAAATGCGGAAGTGTCGTTTCAAAAACGGACAAAAAAGAACCTAGGAGCAAAAATGGTCATTTTGCAAAAAAGTGGATTCAAGTGCTATCGAGCACACCACTGGGAAGACAATGAAAAACTAATCATGATGGACTCAAGAATTTCATTATTCGGATTCCGGACGAAGGAGAAACGACAAAACAAAGAAAAACGAGCAATAAAGCTAAAAGGGGTAATCTGGTAATTATCCAAAAATATTTGGGTGTAACCGAGCACACAATTTGATAGACAATGAAAAATTAATCAATTTAAAAAAAAAAATACACTTGATTTGGAGTCCGGATGAGGGAGAAAGGTCAAAAACAAAATCGACATCTCGGTAGCCCGACGAAGGCCGTAACAGCTACAGTGCCGTCAACCCACTACTGCTGCAACTGAGAGTAAAAACGGGCATCTAAATGGACTTTTCTGGAAAAACTCAAAGAAGAAACCCCACCAAAATTGAGTTTTCTATGTGACTCGCGAGGAAAAATGAAAAAAATGCATTGTGAAATACCCGAAATGCCCCTGGAACAGAATAGGGTAAAACTCCCTAAAAATGCTACTTAGAGTTTTTGTTTCATCAAGGATGGTGTTGTTTGCCAAAGTAAGTATGCAAGTGCATGCAATATGATAAAATAGATGTATCAACATGGCCTAAAGCCTCTTTACATTCCATTAACAAGTTTTAGCATACAAAGCCTCCATAGTTGATAAAAATACATTTTCAAGCAAAATATGGCACCAATTGAATACAAGTGCAAATATAAACTTGCTTGGCCCTTGGCCTCATCTCCTACATGTCAAATGTATTAAAAGGAGTGTACTTATGTACACTTTACATACGTATAATCAAATAATACAAGTTTGATACATAAAGCTACCAAACGATCCAAGGCAATGAAATCTTTCTGACTTGTCACATTTGTTTGTGTTACACTCGTCTGATATGGATGGAGGAATGTTGGAATGTTATTCTATACTGAACACAAAGCTTGAAGGAAGATTGCACTTGGATACAGGATGCTGTTAAGGTGACTAACCCAGTAAATAATTTTTTCAGTTAATGATATAATATTAGAGATCAATCAACACAAGTGACAAAATGAAAAAAATTCACTGTTAGAAGGAGACTAACGAGTCCAAGCGACTGCAGTAATATGGAAGAATTCCACTTTAATCAAAATCACCTACAATACCAGATGCCTCATCACTGGAACTAAAATTCCTGGCTGAAATGTTCTGTAGTGAAATGTGGAGGGCAAAAGAAACAAGAAATGACAATTAAAAGCTATATAGATATCTCAAATCATATACATATTAGATCTGTGGTAGCAAAAAATCATAGGGAGATTGAAGACTGTCATCCAACAAATATGTAACAAAAGTCTCTCTCACACAACATATATATATATTATGAATTTGGAAGGATCAACAAGACCTCAATGATTTTTTATAACAATGTCAGCTCTGCTGCAGCATGCATTCATTGGCAGCGGTGGCGGCCAGGGTGTAACTGGAAGGAGTAACAGCAGAGAGGGAAAAAAATAGTATGCATGACCAATCCCAACAATAGCTCAAACATGATTCATATAGTAAGGTTATTGCAGAAAATAAAAGAGAAGTAAGGCTATTTAAGTGATTTCATATGTAACCAGGACGGGGCAGATTCACCCTATCCTAGTACCTAACAAGCCTCCAACACTGTCAGGTTTTCTATCCAGCTACTCTTCAGACCTCCTGTTAAGGGCGGGTCAGGGTGAAAGAAGGACCCAACCAAATGGTAATCTCGCCATCCTTGGTGGGATATTGGTTATAAAGCATTAATCTTGCTTAGCAGACCTAAATACAAAGGTGTAACAAGTGTCCATATATTGCCAATAGAAGATTCCATAGATCACAAGGATAGCAAAATTATTGTAGTGAATGGATCTGTCAGAATCCTAAAGATTATATTGCCAAGAAAAGATTCCACAGATCATAAGAATAGCAAAATTATTGAAGTTCAGTGCATCTGTCAGAATCCTGAATGGCAACACTTTGTCACCAATCAAACAGGGACCACCAAGAGAAAAGTTCCCTTGTCAATTTTCACAGAGATAAAAGAGAGCCACAAACAAACTTGTCAGGAGCCTTGATAAGATTGACAACAAAATCAATAGAAGAAAAACAAAGTGACCATGAAAAAGACAGTTCATCTAACAAAAGTTATGAATGAGATGATAATATACAGTTTTGATGGAGAGAAATCTTCCTAAAGATTTTCTAAATTTTGCCATTCTGTCATTCCGTGTATAAAAGAGAAAAAGAGAAAAAAAAAAAAATTTATTACAAAATTCGTAAATCAGAACTATTTTAGATGATTGAAAATTCAAAAGAGGGGCTAGACTTTTAGGCATATAATTAGATGCCCACCCACAAAGAAAGTAGTGTCTGGCAACTCACAAAGAAACTGGTGTCTGTTACTCACAATGCTAGAAGGAACTCCAATGGCTCTCCTTCAATGGCTGAAGGAAGGCATCCTACCCTCATTAATTTTAGCCTCACCTTTTCTGGTAGTCATATTGAATTTTCTCTTGAAGGGAACCTCAAGGAAAACAATGTCCAATCTCCCTCCCAGTCCTTTAAAGCTACCTATCATCGGCCACCTTCACCAGCTAGGCAACATGCCGCACCTATCTCTATACCGCCTAGCTGAGAAACTTGGGCCCATCATCCACTTGCAACTTGGTGAGATTCCAACAGTTGTGGTTTCCTCAGCTAGAATGGCGAAGGAAGTGTTAAAAACCCATGATCTTGCACTTTCAAGCCGTCCTGAGATCTTTTCAGCCAAACATCTTTTCTATAATTGCACTGATGTTGTCTTCTCCCCATATGGAGCTTACTGGAGGCAAATACGGAAAATCTGCATACTTGAGCTACTAAGTGCCAAGCGTGTCCAATCTTACAGCTTTGTAAGAAAAGAAGAAGTTGCACGTCTGGTTCATCGGGTTGCAGAATCATATCCTGGCAACACCAATTTAACCAAGATGCTTGGACTATACGCAAATGATGTCCTCTGTCATATGGCATTTGGAAGGGATTTCTCAGCAGGAGGGGACTATGATCGACTTGGGTTCCAAAAGATGCTTGAAGAGTATCAGGAGTTGCTAGGAGGATTCAGCATTGGAGATTTCTTCCCTTCCATGGAATTTATGCACACCTTAACCGGCATGAAATCAAGACTTCAGAACACCTTTAGACGTTTCGACCAGTTCTTTGATGAGATTATAAAGGAACATCTAAATCCCGAGAAAAAAAAGGAAGACAACATAGATCTTGTGGATGTCTTACTAGAAAGACACAGTGAAGCCACCGAAATGCCTCTCACTATGGACAATATTAAAGCCATCATCTTGGTAGTAAAATCTCCTTTATTCTCTGCTTCTCTCTTTAAATTCACTCACATCCATAGAATCAAATGGTTCAAATTACAGGTGTATTTTCCTCCCATTTTTAGCAAAACAATTTGCATTTAGACCCCCCAATTAAAGAATTGTTACTGTTATTGCAGGACATGTTTGCCGCAGGAACTGATACAACCTTCATAACCTTAGATTGGGGGATGACAGAGCTCATCATGAATCCCAAAGTCATGGAAAGAGCACAAGCTGAAGTAAGAAGAGTTGTCGGAGAAAAAAGATTTGTGTTAGAGAGTGACCTGCCTCAGCTGCACTACACAAAAGCTGTTGTCAAAGAGATCTTCCGCTTACATCCTCCCGCACCAGTATTAGTCCCAAGAGAATCCATGGAAGATATAACCATTGATGGGTACAATATTCCTGCCAAAACAAGGTTTTTTGTCAATGCCTGGGCAATAGGGAGAGACCCAGAATCCTGGGAAAATCCAGAAACATTCAAACCAGAGAGATTCATGGGAAAAACTATTGATTTCAAGGGGCAAGATTTTGAGCTGATACCTTTCGGAGCTGGCAGAAGAGGCTGCCCTGCTATTACATTCGGAATGGCAAGTGTTGAGCTAGCACTGACTCAACTTCTCCACAGCTTTGATTGGGAGCTTCCTCCTGGTATCCAAAATAAAAATTTGGATATGACAGAAGTTTTTGGTATCACAATGCACAGAAAATCTCCTCTGATTGTGGTAGCCAAACCATGGTTTCCATAAGAGAAGACTTGTCAACAAATAAATCAAATCAAAATAATATTCAAGCTGTGGCTATGTTACTTGGAACTCAGGTACTAGTGCTAGTATGATCCAAGCGTCGGATGTGTCAAATCTTGCTAAATATTTATATAATGCAATATTTTCTTTTATTTTCTAGAGTAAAATAACAGTTTTATGTAATATAGTGTTTAAAATGGGCATTTAGCTCACTATGAAGTAATAATCTAATAAAATTAAATTATTGGATATGCTTTTTAGGTACATCTCTGACCTAATGTGTCAGACACATCCAATACCCTTATCCAAGTATCGTGCTCCTGACATGGATACTTTACATGCTTTTGAAGAGTCCATATAACATAGATTCACAGGTCATCCTAAATTTAAAAAGTACCCATACATTTCATATCATTCATTGCACAAATAAAGATAAGAAACAATAAAAGATGCCCAGTCAAATAAGATGAAACCGTTAACCATTTTCTTTTTTTCTTGGAGGATTATGGAGCTTATTAACAATTGTGATGCTCCGGATCCAATGGTAACATGACATTTCGAGAACAGTTAGTGCTCAAGTAAAATCTTGAAAGGGGTAAAATACAGAATGATGTGGTGATAGACCACAGGTTCCATTCCATCAAGACACAATGGTTGGAAGTTCATATCCAGAGCTCAGAGTGGGCTGGGTTGATTGACTACTAGAACCAACCCACCAGCTGATTAAAAAATTATATGTTAAATAGAAAGCACATAAAATAATAGAGAATTTTGTACTCCAAACTAGCCTAGTCCGCATGAGAACTAAGTTGAATAATGACATCATGACTTGATCTGAAAATGAGTTATCAGCAAGAAAGAAAAGGTTCTAAAGAAGTCACAAATCACTAAATATGTACAATTTGCAAGTCATGTGAAAAATAAGAACATACCATTAGATATTGGCATTCAAAATCTAGAATTCTGAAACTAATTATTAATCTCTCCTTTTACAAACCACTATTGGCTTATCAATTCCATGACACAATTAGAGCATGACTTCCAGAACCACACAAGGAAGAATCATGCAAAAACTATGACTCTTATCGACTGAGAGATTACAGAAAGAGACAAATGAAAAGGGTGTGGGTGCAGGGTTTTGTCCTAAATGATTTATATGGCGCAGCTTTTGAGGAAGGGTCCTTTATGCTCATCAACTTTTTGGTCTCTGGTTTCAGTAAGGAGATCCATAACTGATCTGTCGTCTCTCAATGTAATTGGTCACAAATACCTTCAGAGTTTAGCCATTGATCTTCAGTGAGGCCTTAAATCCTTAATATAACTGCCCAATTGCTGAGCCCCAATGAACACAGCATCAGCTACAAGAAAGACTCCAACCTGTGACAGAAACAATTGGATTGGAGATCATTCTAGTGGTAATAACAGAGTTAAGATTAAACAGTGTTGTTTCTTTCCTCAATGTCTGGGATGAATTATTACCAGACGAGCAGAGAAAACTAATCGGTATTCCCAACCCTCCGTGGCACCTGCAGCTCTTTGCTGGTCAGTCCAACTGACAACCAGGTGATGGCAATTAGTGCATTGATTTTTAATTTAGACTTCATTATGTCATATTAACTAAATTATCTTGACAGATTCAAAGTACATGACGCAACATGCAGATTGAGAAAAATACAAATGAAGTTCATACAAATAGCTATGAAGTTTGGAGACAGATATGGAAAACGGATTAAAAAATGGGATATGGATACGATAAAGACAAAACAATGTATATGTATATATATTGTTTCTATATAGATATATAAAAGAATAAAATCTATATACGTATCTATGTAAAAAGTTAAAAGTAATAATTATTTGTCATGTCATATATATTGTTACTAACATTCCCTTATTAAATAATTATTACAAACAAGATGAGAGTTATGTTGAATGGATATAAACTTTGAACTAAGTTATATCTCTTTCTTTTTTATTTGAAGAATATCTAAGCATTTGAAACCCTTCTTATTCTTTTCTCAACAATCATACTACGCTATTATACTTGGAAAAGTTCAATTTTAAAGTTAAACACTTGCCAAACATTCTCAGAGTATCTGAAAAATATTGGCTATGTAACCGGAGTATTTTAGAAATATCAAATATGTATTTGGAAAGTAAAAAAAAAAGGATGTTAAATTATGGGTATGTCTAAGAGTTATCAGACACTCATCCACAAGTAATCCTAGAAGTATCAGAATCTGACATAGACAAGACAATGTGATGTTATGGCCCGAATTTTGTTTTGTCCTGGGTCACAATTCGACCCGGTAATTTTTTTTTGACCCACTTTCCCTTGCTGGTATTGGACTCTATTTAGTACTCTTGATACCCGGTGTACAAGGGCGTTTAGGGTTTGGAGTGGGATAACAATAGAACACTGAAAACAATAGGAAAGAGGGTGAGAGAGAGCTAGGGTTTGGGACTGACACTTGTAATTTCCTAGTTTTCGCAATCTGAAATCTTTTGCCGGATCTTCACCGTGGACATAGGTTTTGCCGAACCACGTAAATCTTTGTGTTCTTTGTCTGTGGTGTGTTTACTTTTCTATTGTAAATCATGATTGTGTTCTTGGTTCACGGTATTTGTCACAACAGACACGGATATGGCCCCTTATAGACACATAGAAAGATTAAAGTCCAAGCATATAGGTTCTTATTGCAAGTTAACAATGTTTTGGAAAAAGATATAGGGTTAGACTATAAGTCAGGGACAATAATTAATATTCTTAAAGTCAGGATATGATATACCTACTAGCAAGGAGGTATGTCCAATTATCACATGGGTCAGAGAAAATTCATCCCTGTTCTGGTAGTTATCTAATCCCGCATCCTTTCTGCCAATATTCTATGGATCATTTTCCATGCCTTTCACGGCCATCCAAAAAACTCGAGACTAACCACCACACCAACATACGGCAACACAGGTTGGCTTAAAAGTAATTCCTAGGTGAGATTATCTAAGGTCCAATTCCTTATATGTACAGAGTATATACAAGATCATGACCACATATTGAAGCAAGAATATTAGTTGATCATGACTGCATTAACAGAAGGAAATGCAAGATTTTCATATTGTGAGAAAATAGAAAAGAAAATAATGTAAACGCAAGATTTTCATATTGTGAGAAAATAGAAAAAGAAAATAATCATCCTTTTCTCATGGAAACATGTCTAAAAGGAAAAATAGGATTTGGTTACCCAAGGAACTCTGAAACTCCACCAATCCCAGCAAACTTAAAAGGCTGAGGACCTTCCCTTTCGAGATCCTGCTCCATATGAAATAGGGCCACAATTTCAACAAATACTTTAGTATGAAAAAACTTAAAAGACCAGGTAAACAGGAATCAAAAAGAAAAGGGAACTTCTCCATAAACACTTGTACCTCTTCTTCAGCAGCCTCAAGACCCCGTTGAACCCAGAAAAGGTTTCTGTAACCAGCATTGTACAGTAACTCACAAGCAGCAAGAGATCTGCCTGATTAATGTGGTTCAGTATGAAGCAAGGAATGTGAAAATATATCATACCATGTCATTTACATCACGAATGATTTCATGTTTCAAATTTCTACTACTTTTAAATTGAATTACTGTCATTTAACATTTTCTTTACTCAATGCAGATGGCAGCCCAACGTAGATTACAACATTCCCCAGGCAAATTCTAAATAAACTTCCATTTATAAATACATGTTGCGGAACAGCTTGAGAGGTTTCGGTTTGTGGAAGTACGAAGGTGCACTGTCGAAGCCTCACCAAGGAACTACCGTGATGTGAACTAAGATCCAAAAAGCTTGCATCTCTAACCTAGATGAATGAATAACTATAATTTTGACTGACTTATCAAAAACACTAAATTTAAGTAACAACTCCTATTGTGTGCAAATTCATTGTTTATACCAATCATATTTGCCCAGAAAGTATATATTTCTTCTTTAGTTTAAATGGATGGCAAATTTCATCTGAAAACATTGTTATCCTGAAGAAAATATTGGTGTCCAATAGAGCAATATTAGTAAATTTAGATTAAGGAAAAAAAAGTCTTGACCATCATGTAAAGCTTTATTAGTCAAATATTTAGGTGAACTGGGAATTGCATGTATACTAATCGGCTCCAAACTTCCATTAGTTCCCCATATCATCTGACACCACAATTTCATATTCCAGAACAGAGGACTCACAAGATAAAACATGATCCTTTGCAAAAACATGAAATAGAACAGAAATCTAAGAACAAAAAGGTGAGCAGCATCATTGCTCAAAATCACGAGACCCTGTTGCAAATAAAACACACTACTCTCTCTTCTTCGAACCTTAGACACTGTTGTTTGCACCCAAGAAGATTCGAACCTTAGACCTGGTGCTTCATGAGGCACCAAGGCCAAGTTCTTACCCACTTGAGCCAACCCCTTGGGGTTTAAAACACACTACTCTCATTCCAAACACTTTGAAAACAACTGTAGTGACTACTTCACTTGATAATCTAGTAGCTGAGCACCCATCAGTTCAAAGGATAACATCACCTCAATCCCTTCTGGCATGCAACAATAAGGTCTGTATCTTTTGGGAATTTCTCCTCAACCTTTAATAGAAATTTGCTGTTGAATAAAAGAAAGAAATGAGCAAGAAATCTACAATATCATAAGCAAAGATACAAAAGGATTTACCTATCAAAATAGAAGAAATAAATTCAGTTTGTAACATACTTATCATAAGATAACATAGGAATACCACTCCACCAACCTCCTGCAGAAACACAAATTTTGATTAAACAACCCTGCAAACTCCAAGAGTAATAGTAGAACTGAATTATTTTATTCTTTAAAAATAACTATTAACCTATCATGTTGTCAATTGGTTATTATGTTCTGTAGACTCAAATAGACGTATCAAGCAATCTTCCTAAATCCCAAATCATAGGATATGGGAACTTCGCTTGAAATGTGTCCAAAACTTGTGTATGGTACATTGACACGTCCACATTTAAATAGAATATATGTTATTTACTAGTGTAATATATGAATTTTTTTTTTTTTTTTTTAAGAATCTAACCTGTTAAAAATTTGGATTAAATGGGATGTGATGAAACATTGGATTTTAATCTATTTCAAAAGTAGAAAACTCCTCTTTCCTCTCAAATTTGAGTTTTTTTTCTTCTTCATTGATTATCACACATGGAGAATCGGGATGTCTAGTCTGGCTCGTGTGTTGGACACATATACCCATAATGTGTACACTGAGAAGAATCGGATGGTCTATGTATCGCAATCTAATCAATGGCAAATGTACTTTCTTGTTCCTAATAGAAACCCATACAAACTTTTTTACTGACTATTCATTTAACTATTAGGAAGTCCTTTAATTAATTGGAAAAATAATACCAATTACAAAAAAGAAGAGAATTGTATGATACCCATCATGAAATTTGTGACCTTTCTGGAGAGAATTCCAGCATCAAATCTATCATCAACATCAAAGATCGGGATCCAGGTTGAGCCTTTAACCCATGCCTTCAAACAAGAGCTACAATTATGAGAACATAATAATGGAAGTGGAAAGAGACAATGTGGTCCAAGTTTTTTTAAAGGGGAAAAAGGTAAAACTAAGTATGCAATGACAAATTATCAACAAGTAATAGTGATGCATAATTCAATAAGAAAAATGAACTTACAACACTACTCAAGCTTTGAATGTGCAACTTCTGCCCTTAATGCAGAGTTTTTAGGAAACTCCTAAGACAAAGTGATAATCTATAATGAAGTAATGTGGAGAGTGATAGAGAATACAAAATTTTGATCGAGTACCAAAGGTGTACCAGAAAGTATGACATCTGCCATCCATGTTCACACAATATGACTTCACTGGAAAAGAAAATTGAGAAGGAAAAGCATTCACCTTTTTATGTTCAGTAGAGGGACGAACGTCGAGTAGCGTTTTGTCGGAGAGTTGAATTGCATACCCAGCTTCCCTTGGTGTGAGAACTTTGACTTTTTCCTGCCTGACCTATGATAAAACAGATTTAGGTAACCAAAAAGGAAAGTCAACATAGAACGTTAGACCTCCCTGTCGACGAATGGCCTTGCACGGCCTAGATAGGTCTTAGCATTATCACGGAATACCAACAAAATTTACATATGAAAAAGCCAAAAAAAAGAAGAAGAAGAGGAAGGGAATGAGTTAGAGATATTAATGTAATTTATTTTATAATTTCCAAATAAAATTTATAATTTATTTAATGGTTTATATATCAACTCTGATTTTTTTGGCAGCTGACCTAGCCTTACTTTTTCTTCCCTAACGAGCCTGATGACAATTTTTGTTTTAGTTATGCTTGTCTTAAACCAGCTTTAGTTATTTCAAGGTTGTTAAAATCGGGATTCTACGTAGAATCATTTTGGGCTCCGTAGAATCGGAATCGTAGAATCAGATCGAAAATCATAAGATTCTACCAACTAGTAAAAAAAAATAATTCAAACTAACTTCTTAAACAATATAATGTGTAAAATATAGCAAGAATAAGGCCAAAACACCAAAAAAATAAAATAAAAAATGTATGAAGGTACCATACCAAAGTTCAAATATATAAAAGAGAATGTAGCTCAAAAGGTAGAGCTCTCATGACAACTATGCAATTTGTAAGTTGTGAAGTGTGTGAGAAGATGAAGGTTTGAATCCTAATCCATAACATAAGTTCACAAATCCCAAATCCTAATCTAAACTTACAACAGCTCCCTTAAAAGAAGAGAACACAAATAAAATAGAAAAGGAACTAAACATAGTTACAAAGCATAATGTAAAAAGTAAAGAACAGAATAGAATTAAAGGGCCCATTCTTCATGCTTAAAAAAAATAAAATATTGATCAGAAACAGGAAAATAAAAATAAAAAATTTGAACAGCAACAGGAAAAAAAAAAAAAAAAAAAGAAGAAAAATTGGGGATTAGGGCTAGTGTTTTTTTCTTATTTATATGGACTTGTTTTGGGCCCCAAAATTGTGGACCTTTCTTATTTAGAGAATCCAACACTTAAGAAAGTGAACCAGGCCAAAAAAGATAAGCCCAAACAAAAAAATCTCAAAATCTTGTAGAATCGCAAGATTCTACTACGATTCTACACAATTCTACTACGATTCTGTACAGGGGAACGATTTCTATACGAGTTGACTCGTTTTGGGTTGGTGGGATAGTAGAATCGTGCAATTCTACAATCCAAGATCGCGATTTTGACAAACAAATTCATCAATGAATACATACCATGGGTACCCATTCTAAACACGTTCCGTCAGTTCATTATAACAAAGGTAAAATGACATTGACTTAATGAAAGCCTATAGTAATTGAAAATTGAGTTGTTTCTCCAACAATTAATCTAATTATAGTCACAATTCCATCAAACATGTCCTTATTATGCATTATAAATTTATAACATGACAGACAAATAAATAAGAGTGAAAATATTGAAATAGTAAGGAAGTGATATTGCTTTTGATGTTTATATATATTGTCACGACCTGCCACACTGTGTGGATATTGTCCACTTTGCACACTGTAAGAGCTCACGGTTTTCAAAGCGCGCCTACACAATTAGGAGATATCCACATATATAAGTGCCAGCAACTTCTCCCCCCAGGTGATGTGAGACATCTCAATCATCCCCTTTTCAGACCCAGCACCTTCAGTGGCATAACCTAAGAAGCACGGACACGGATACGGGACACGGATATGACACGACACGGACACGGTGACACGGCAAATCCAAAAAAATTAGGACACGGACATGGTGAGGACACAGCGAATAGTATATATGTGTGTGTGTGTGTGTGTGTGATGTAGTACTTTAAAAATTACTGAGTGTTACCATTTTTCATCAACCTCACAATGAAAAAAAAAAAACACAAATCATAACTCATAACTAATAAATTATAAAAGAACAATGTTGCATAGTTATAAAACCAAATAAAAAACAAGACATTAGAATAATAATTAGTATCATTTAATCATCATTGCAACTTTACTCCAAATACAAAAGCATAGACAGAAAAGACTATTAACATTCATGACTGTTTAACATTCAGGACTTTACCGTTAGAAACATTCACAAAAACCTAAAGGCTAGTCCCAATAAAAGATACAAAAACAAGTCAATGTACTATCATCTATTCCCATCCATCATTTGACCTAGGACTTTTACCATTTACAATACCAAAAGGATAGTACAAAACAAAAAAAGAACATATGAGCATTAAAAAATTTAACAAAAAATAAAATAAAATAAAATAAAATAAAAAATTCCAGACACGTATGTCCGTGGAGTGTCCATGCTGTGTCCGAAAATTTAAAAAAAAAAAAAAAAAAAAAAAAATTCTAGAAACCTTTTTTTGGTGTGTCCGATGCTTGGTATACGTGTCCGACACGTGTTGAACACGGATTCTTCGCCCATTTTGGCATGTCTGTGCTTCTTAGGGCGTAACCCTTATGAATTTATGCACGATCCCCCTATTTCCGGCTGGGGATTGGCTTTAATACCATATGTCAAGGCCTAAACCACGCTATATAGATATTTGGTCGTCTCGCTTTGCCTCGGGAGAAGTTGTTGGCACTTATATGTGTGGATGTCTTCTAACTGTGTCGACACATTTTGAAAACCGCGAGCACAGACAATGTGCAAAGCAAACCGCACTTATATGTGTGGATGCCTTCTAACTGTGTCGACACGTTTTGAAAACCGTGAACACAAACAGTGTGCAAAGCAGACCGTATCTACACATTGTTGGCGGGTCCTGACATGTACACATATATATATATATGTGTCTGCTTTTGGTGTTATACACACACACACACACATATATATTTGTGTGAAGGTGCATATAGACCTAAATTGCTATCATCATTATTATTTTACTATTAGATTTTGGTTGAAGAATATGTTACGGATATTATTCCCAATTGTAGAAACTAAGAATGAAGAATCATATATGTTACCCTAATCTGACCGAATTCATGATAACCACGGGATATGGAAAATTTTAGTCTCGTGTAATTGGAATGGAAGTGAGTTCCACTTCCAATTGTAAGACACAAATTTCAAACAACTGATAATGGAATTGCAGCACTTCTGGTATGTCCACAAACAGATATGGTTGAACTAGCTTTTGGGATTTTAAATTACAAACAAAGTCAAGTAGTTTTCAATTCCGTGCAGGAATTTGCAAGTGATTAAAAACCCAATTCACTGGAAACAAGAAACTAATACATTACATAAACAAGAATGTTGTAAAAAGAATCAACTATGGTAGTATAATACTAACAATTCCAGGGTTTTAGTAAATCTATTTAAGTAAAATGAAATAGAAACAAATTTTTAAAAAATCCTAGTAATAATTGCAAGTAATTGAGCAGAAATACCATAGCTTCCCATCTCTTTCTAGCTGCAGCCATATCTTTCATTTGCTTCAACTCGTATTCCTCTTCAACTGCTTGCATTCGTATGATTCTTGAATACTAAATCAAATACAAGGACGACCCGTCTCATTAAATATATATATATACACACACACAAACATACATTCAAACATATATATACACACACATACAGTATATATATTCAAATACATGTGCATATAGATAGATAATAGACCAAATTTAATTATTGAACGAAAGATTGAAAAGGTGGAAGATACACTGACCCTTTGTCGTGTTCTATAAGAGCGTCTGAGTTTCAGATGAGAGGGATCTGGAGAGCTGAGGCAATAACCTGAACCCAATTGCATCATGCGATGTTCATCTCGAAAACTGGAACTACAACGCGAGACGCTGAGAGTGTTGAAGGGTGGAAGGCCAAGACCCAGAGTTGTCATTGTTGAGGGTACCTAACAAGACTTCGAAAATTGGAATTTGGTTAATCCACTTTGTGCCTATCGACCCGAGTAATGAAGTAGAAGATGAATAAGAACGAGAACAGACCAATTGCGCACTCTTTACCTGGATAACATTATCCGTGCTGACAACACTGACCACGATTTGTCTTTTCCCTCCACCTCACGACTGATGACACTTTTAACGCATTAAAATAAGCGCAAAATTATGTATTTTCAACCTCCTCGCATCATAAACAACTTCTTAAACCGTCAATTCGACTCACTATTGACGGAGCTGATTTTCCCGCTTAGAGCGTCTCTAATGGTAAAATGTTGAATTCGGATGTCAAATTTATATTTTGATAGTACTATAATGTCAAAATGTTACATTTTAGTAATTCTGCTCCAATGATGCATTTTATGCAAAATGCTATTTTTTGACACAACTACTATTCTTTTTCAACTACCATTCCCACCATTCATATTTGCATCACTAATGTTAACATTATGTACATTTCAGTCAAGTTGTAGATATTAAAATGAAACTAAAATTAAACTTAATTAAAAAAAATCTAAAATCTAAAATATCTAGTCAAAAAAAAACCTATATATATATATATATATATATATATATTTTCTTTTTCAGAAATATTATATATATAGGGCAAATCATTTCAGCCTCCCAAATAGCCAAATATAGTTTTAGGGCAAATCATTTCAGCCTCCCCAATCGCCTCCATCTCTATTCTCATTCTCAACTCTGCAATTCCACCCCCCCCCCCCCCCCCCCCCCGGCGCAACTGCAAACTACAAAATCAACAAGAATCAAAAGTTCAAAACCCTTATCTTTCAGTTTCCATCTCCCACTGTTCCAGTTCGGGTTCGCCGTTCGCAAACCAGACACTAGATCAAAACCAGGCATTATTCCCGGGAAACTCAATGTTCATTTAGTTCCTCACACGCACGATGTTGGATGGTTGAAGACTGTTGATCAGTACTATGTTGGTTCCAACAACACCATCTAGGTCCTCTATCTCTCTATATGCATGTGTATGTGTGTATATAATATATATTACATCAATATCTCAAAATTTTTCTTTGCTTTATTAGTTGATTTTTGAACTCCATGGCACCATATCCCCTCATGTATGTATGGGTTTTGTTTTAATTTTTTTTTCTGTAATTCAATTTTTATGAAGGTCTATAATTCTATTTTATGGGTTTTGTTTTAATTTTATTTTCTATAATTCAATTTTATGATGAAGGTCTGTAATCAAGGTCTATAATTCTTGTTTTTTAAACTAAATCTTATTTGGTGTAATTCTTTTTTTTTTAATATATATATATATATATATATATATATATATATATATATATATATAACTCTGAATAGCTTTGATGAGCGCTGAAAAGTGCGTATTTAAATCCATTAAATTTAGGTATTCTAGAACCTTTATCTATCTTATTTTCCCGTTTTATATTGATTTTGTATTATTTCCATTTTCAGGTACTTATCCCCAAAATAAGCTAACTCAGCCAAATAAGAGCAGAAATGAAGTAATTCTGGGATGAATCAAAGAAAGGAGCAAAGTAGAGCAAAAGGAAGCAAATGGTGGAATTTCAGCAACTTCGATCGATCTCAAAAAAAGTTTGATCGATCCAACTTCCATCGATCTCAGCACTTCAAGATAGATCCAGGCCATGATGTCATTTTCAGAGATCCTAAAAGTTCGATCGATCCAATATTATTCTCTGATCGATCGAACTTTCTTGTCCTTATCCACATGCTAGATCTTATCTAGTTGTACCACCCTACCAACCACTTTTGTCCTTTTCCCAAAAATATCTTCAAAATATCTCAGATTTGTTTTTATCCAAAAAGGCGCCGCCATTGAGGATCGATCTAGCTTCAATTCGATAGATCTCAGCGATGTTCGATAGATCTCACCCCAAGTTCGATCGATCAAACTTCCCAAATCCCGAGAAAAATCAAAATTCCAGCTCTTTAAAAGTTGTCTCATATCCAATCATGAGAGGATAATAGGTGTATGAGCCCAGCTCATTTGGGGTGATTTTTGACCTACCTATATAAGGAATATGAGCCACTTTTACACATATACACATACTTAGAAAAGATAATACTTAGTGAGGAAGCAAAGGAGAGGAAGAGGCTAGAGACATTGGAGACTCTTCATCAACCAAGGAGCAGATTTCTTCCATGGAGCTTGCCCTTGAGGGTTGGAGGACATCATCCATGAGTGGCTAAACATCTTCTTGGGGTTAGAGTTAGCCCTAAGCATGCTTTCTACTTCTTGATTTATGTATTTTTTAGGGAATTTGTATTGTGATTCATGTCTTGACAGTTATATATATATATATATCTTGTTTATTCAATGATTTATATGGTTTAATACTTCTAATTGATCATTTCATTCTATCCATATGTCTATGTATGCTAGAATAGATGTTCATGTATTTGTCTCTATTTCTTGTGTTGTTGATGCATGTCTATGTGTATTAATATTATAGATCTAGAGATTGTCAAAACATAGTGCTTAATGGAATGTTCTTATGGTTTATTTGATGGTCCATACTCATTTTTTGATAGATTGTACATCTCCCTTAGTTTAATTAGTTTAATTTCATGTCATTAGCTTAGTTGTAGTGTAGTTGTTAAATGGGAGGACAATCCATACTTGTTGTTGATATTCTATACTTATGAAAGCAAGTAACATTTATCTCTAACCTTGTAATGTGTTTGGTTGTGAGCTTAAAGAAGGGATTAATGGCTTAATTTGATATGTTGTGTTATCCACCATGTTGCTTAGACAATATATGCTTAATTTGTCATTCATGCTTATGGAAACAACCACACACACACACTCTTTGTTGCAATACATGTTTTTTCCCTCATTAATCATTCATTAAAGGTGTATAAAAGTATGTTTAGTGGTGATCTCTAAACCCCAAGATCTCTCTATCTCTTTCATTCTCTTAATTGCATTATTGTTTACTTTAGTTTAAATTGCATCTTAGTGTAATTCAACCACCAACCACTATTTTGATCACTCGACCTACTAACCCTAATTTTGATTCCTCAACCTAGTACGACCCTCAATCCCTTGGGACGATCCCTTCTCACTCATACTACATAGTATAGGTGTTAAGCGGTTTATAAATTTAAATTATGATGCCCACTTGACACTAATTTCCAAACTCAAAGTGTTGTGCATTATTTTGTGCACACGCTCGGGGTATCACCATAGTTTTTGGCGTCGTTTCCGGGGATTGATTGATTGGCAACGTCGTATTTGTGGAATCAATTAGGAATTAGTACTCTTTTGATCGTGTCTTTATTTTGTTTTCAATTTTTGTTACTTATTGTGTTTGTTTTTGTTTGACTAAGAGCATTGGGCTAAGAATGTGAGTAAAGGAGTATTTCAAGCAAAGGAGCTAAGCAAGCAAGGAAAAAGGTTAAAATCATAAATAAAAAAAATGCTAAGCTAAAAGCTAAAAATTTGGAGTTAAAGTGCTAAAGGACCTTTGTGAGTTTTTTCTTACTCAAACCCTTTGTTAAATCGTCGGCCAGTGTGGAGGCTTGTATTTCATTTCTTAGATAAATCGTGAGCCCGCGTGGAGGTAATTTACTTTTCTTGCATATTGTTGTTAAAGCATGGAGTATGGGAACATTGTATGTGGAGGAAGTTTGTTAATTATTGACTTGTTGTGAAGGTGAAGTGTTTGTCATTATTTCTTGTTGTGTTGCATTATGCATGCATGGTGGTAGATCATTAAGACCCACTCTTGTCCCTTTAAATTTTCATCTTGAATCCATTGTTCGAAATCCTAGGAGAAGAGGTAGTCCTAGTCAATCTATTTCATCAATGGAAGGATACAATGAGGACCATGTGGAGGACCTTGGTCACTTAGACCAAAGGTATCCTCCACCCCAATGTACATCATGATAACATGCAAGTACCATTAGGCATGCTAATGCCCCTAAAACATGGTTCTTTACCTAAAAAATGTCCCAAACAATGAGGGTGAGTAAACAAATTACTCGTAGGAAATAAACATGCGTATAATGTAAAGTTTTACAAGTCTTTATAAATTGATATAAATCAATCCATGTTGCTCATGCCACCTAACGTCTATGTTCAATATGGGATTAAAGGATCATCCTCAGCTACATTAGAACATTCATAACATAAGCCAAAATAATAATGCAACTTAGACAACATTGGAACATCAAACACTAAATAATAAAATATAAATTCTCAAAGTAAACAACTTGGAATTGAAATGCGAAATCAATCATACGGATACTTGGACATCACGCCGGAGTAGAACCAGACATTAGGCATCATTTGGGTTACTAGCTAGTGGGTACCGGCCCTTAAGTGCGCACTATAAGATAGAGGGCTCTTAAATCCCCCGTACTAGAGCCATACCCTAGCCATGGTCATTCTTATGACATCCCAAGTTTCCAAAATCAACAAGTAGTGCACAACAAGTATATACATATATATTAAATGCACTTAATCAAATACCATACACAATCAAATTGTGGAAACACACAAGACATGCCCTAAGTCCTCAACTACCATGGCATATAACATAATAAGTCTTGAAAATATCAAAGATATAAATAAACCATAAATTAATTAAATGTAAACTAATTAAATAAAAATTAATTAATTTCTCTAGATTGCAAAATATCTCCAAATAACATGAAATTAACACATATCAAGCAACATACCATGATTAACACAAATATCAAATCAAAAATCTAATTAAGCCACTAAACACTTAATTAATTTTTAATTAACTTAATTAATTAAAAATCTCTTAATTTCAAAAGTCATCCAAAAATTTCAAAATTAATATATGACAAACAACAAGTCATGAGTTATCTAAATATCATATTTTTAATCTCTTCTAAGCATGTTACAACCATAAAATTAAATTATCATTTAATTAAAAATAAAACCCATTTCTAGATCTAAACTATAAACATGTATACAAGTTATATAAACTTCAAAAACATGTAAAACACTAAGATTATAAACATGAAACACCCCCTACCTCACTTTGAGAT